CACCTATCTCAGTCAGGACTGATCTCTGGATTGTAGTTAGTTTCCAACCTTGTTTTGATATAGAAGTTGTATACATCAACAGACCGCGAACTTGAACCGCGGCTTGCCGTTGGCGGCAATTGCACTGCATCATGGGATTTGTAGTGTGTGTTATTGGGGCGTCATATCACAGGGCCATTAAAAACAGATATATAAAACGATTTCGCGGGCCGGATATAATTGTATGGCGGGCCGGATGTGGCCCGCGGGCCTTGAGTTTGACACATGTGCCCTAGGAGAAGCTGAGGTGCCTCAAGAAACCACCCCAGGAGATGGTGACACCTACCTTGCCTCCCTAATATCCTGGGACCGACATGGCTAAACCAACACTGCATACAATCAAGTATCAGGGGGTAGCCGTGTTAGTCTGTATCCACAAAAACAACAAGGAGTTCGGTGGCACCTTAAAGACTAACATATGTATTTGGGCATAAGCTTTCGTGGGTAAAAAAACCTCACTTCTTCAGATGCAACCAATAATTTCACCATACACATACAATCCTAGACAAATTAGAGGATTGGGCCACAAAAAAACTGATGAGGTTCAACAAGGACAAGTGCAGAGTCCTGCACTTAGGACGGAAGAATCCCATGCACTGCTACAGACTAGGGACCGAATGGCTAGGTAGCAGTTCTGCAGAAAAGGACTTAGGGGTCACAGTGGACGAGAAGCTGGATATGAGTCAACAGTGTGCTCTTGCTGCCAAGAAGGCTAACGGCATTTTGGGCTGTATAGGTAGGAGCATTGCCAGCAGATCGAGGGACGTGATCATTCCCCTCTATTCGACATTGGTGAGGCCTCATCTGGAGTACTGTGTCCAGTTTTGGGCCCCGCACTACAAGAAGGATGTGGAAAAATTGGAAAGAGTCCAGTGGAGGGCAACAAAAATGATTAGGGGGCTGGAGCACATGATTTATGAGGAGAGGCTGAGGGAACTGGGATTATTTAGTCTGCAGAATTGAAGAATGAGGGGGGATTTGATAGCTGCTTTCAACTACCTGAAAGGGGGTTCCAAAGAGGATGGATCTAGACTGTTCTCAGTGGTACCAGATGACAGAACAAGGAGTAATGGTCTCAAGTTGTGGTCTCAAGGAGGTTTAGGTTGGATATTAGGAAAAACTTTTTCACTATGAGGGTGGTGAAGCACTGGAATGGGTTACCTAGGAAGGTGGTGGAATCTCCTTCCTTAGAGGTTTTTTAGGTCAAGCTTGACAAAGCCCTGGCTGGGATGATTTAGTTGGGGATTGGTCCTGCTTTGAGCAGGCGGTTGGACTAGGTGACCTCCTGAGGTCCCTTCCAACCCTGATATGATATGATTCTATGACTGACCCTCCTTAGTTTGCTATCAGTCAGGTCAGTTCCTGGACCCTCACCTTCAATTAAGCCTGTCAGCCCTTCACTTTTTGGGCTTGCTGTCGCTTTCCTGTTTTCTTGGAAGAAATCTGGTGCCACGTTGTCACCACCTTGCTATCGCAGGCCTTTGTGTAGCTGCATTCTCCCCTTTATAGCAAGCAGCTTTCCTCTATTGGGTGCAGCTGTGGGTGTCTGTCTCCAGGATTGGTACCTCTGTCTGCTGTGTGATGAAACTGCTTGCTTGTAAATAGGAGAGACTCTCCTTCCCACTCTGTCTATGATCAGTATGGGGTTTGTAGCTTGTCGCTCTCACCAACAGAAGTTGGTGCAATAAAAAGATACTACCTCACCCACTTTGTCTATGGTGAAATTGACAATGACTGACATTTTCAAATAAAAATATAATCCTTATAAGCCTATTTATAAATGTTTAAATCCTATTTTCAGTAACTGTGAATGTTCTCATCCATAGCATGTTCCAATCCTTGTAGAACCCTGTTAAACTCTTGTTCTCAATTATATCTTGTGGCAGTAAATTCCATTGGCTAATTGTTGTGTAAAAAAAGCATTTCCTTTTCTCATGTTAAAATCTGCTGCCTTTGAGTTTCTTTAAAGCAGAAACCTGGACAGGACAGCGAAAAAGGAAAATGGATGGGGCCAGAAGGTGCCAACCTATGACTTAAAGCAGGGAATAGAGACTGGCTGAGGATCTTGTGAGTAGAACTAGCCAGGGAGCAGGGCTAGGAAAACTGAGAAAATGGTAAAACAACATCTGCTACTGTAGTGGGGCGGCTGCCCCACTCCCTGAATTTGGGGCTGTAGCAGGCCAGTGGGCCTGCACAGACAGGGAGCCAATCAGGGAAGGCCTTATAGGGAGCCAATCAGGGCCCAGATTGGAGGGAGCCAATCAGGGCCAGGCTCAGCCCTATAAGAAGGCTGCTCAGGACAGGAGCAGGCAGTCTGTCTCAGGCCTTTGACAGGGGAAGTGTCTGTTTCCAGGCTGGGAGACTAGCACACGGGACAGCAGAGGGTAACTCTGTCAGGCTGCAGACCCTGAAGGGAAGGGAAGAGCCTAGTGGGTGCGAGGGGCTGAAGGGGAAGCGGCTCAGGGATGTGGATAGATGGAGGGAGAGAAGGAGGGCAGGACAGCTGCCACTAGTGGGTCCCTGGGTGGGGATGCAGAGTAATGGGGGGCCTGGGTCCCCCCCCTTGCCTTGCACCTGGCCAATGGAGTGGCCATCTAGAGCTGCACCAACCCCCTGCCAAGAGGGGAGTGACTTTGAGGGTGCAGTTGGCCACATCGGCCAGGACGCAGAGAGGCAGCTGATTGATTCTC